CCTCCGAGGCAGGCGGGAATCGAACTCATGCGGAAGTGGCTTTAGCTTCTCAGTGCTGTGCTTTAACCCGCTGCGCCACCAGGGAGGGCCCGAGCGTCTAATATTTTATAAAAATATTTGTTCCCCTATATATTTGTTTACCTATATATGTATCTTCATTTTCAACAGAGTTCTAAATGTCAGTTTTCTACCATTCCAGTAGACAGTTGTGTCAATATATACATTTGAAGCAGAAAATAGATTTCACTTTAGTGTCTTGTCATTTTAAGAAAGGTATAATTGATTCATCATTTTTTTTTAACATCAGTGAATTTTAATGACATACAAATATAAGATATGGCAGTTGCTATTCTGATCGAAAAGCTTGTTTATAATAAAAGGAATGTTCTAGTTAATTGAATGCTCTATTTAACTGAGATATTCTACACAACATACACAATTTCTAAATCTTTAAGTCATAAATTTCTTGTTCACTGAAGTATGAATCTCTGTTTGTTGGGGCACAACCTATCTGATCTCTGATGTCCAAGAGTTAATTATTCTAGTCTCTCCCCAAATGGTGGGACACTCTGCTGGTTAACCTACATGATCCTCTGGGAAAGGAAGCAAGGAAGTTCTTCTGATATCTTCTTTGATTCACTTTCTGCCAGTTCACCTTTTTTTTATTTGTCAATACAGAACTGGGGTACAGGCCAGAGGTACAAGGGTGGTGAGAGGACTCACCAGAGACAGAGTGGAGAGGAGAACAGGATGACTGACTGAGTATACTACTGAGGGGAGCAGCGGGCGGGTCAGGAGAGGTCTGCCCCACCACGTGGATCACCTCCAGGGCAGGTGGGATCGAACTCATGCTGAAGTGGCTTTAGCTTCTTAGTACTGTGCTTTAACCCATTGCGCCATCAGGGAAGGCCCTAGTTCACCATTTTTAAGTGAATTATTTTGCCAGGTTTTCACACTTCAAATACTTTAAATCCACATCAACAAAATAACAGAAATTATTGGAAGTTGCAACTAGTCCAGTCTAATAATTAAAATCTGTTGGTGATTTTCAGAATGAAGCAATGACTGGCTCTCACACACAGAACCGAGTCCTCTCTCGAATCACTCTGGCATTAATGGAGGACACTGGGTAAGATCGCTGTGAGGTTATATTAATTGTTAATTAAGATGAAATGATTTGTAAGACTTAGTGGATATTGATTTAAGAAAATACTAACACTTTATATTGAAGCAAAATATATTCTTTGAATTTGGTGCATTTATCCATTATCTTACCATCTTCATATAAATGTTTGGGTCTCTGAGGTGTAGATAAACAGTACAAATTCCTTGGCATTATGAGATTTATTTTTTTATAGAGACCATGCTGCTATCAATTTTAATTAAAAATGTGTAGTGATGTTTATATCCCTGGTTGTTAAAGCAGTGGAAATTTCTGGTAAAGCAGGAGGAAACTGTTTTTAAGTGACTCAAATGGGTATTATTTTACTTGTTGGCACCAGAGTCCTCTGTGTGGCAAGATGTACCAGGCACATACCCTATCCTAAACCTTGGCCTCAGTCAATTTTTCAAGGACACCGCTTCCTTTTTTTTTTTTTTTAAAGATTTATCTTATTTATTTATACATATAAGAGCTGTGGTGATAGCCAGAGGTTATGGGGTGGTGATGAGAGGGTTCACCAGAGACAGTAGGGAGCAGAACAGGCAGATGTACTAAAATACATTGCTGAGGGGAGAGACAGGAAAGGTCTGTTGAGCCATGTGGGTCAGCTCCCTGGCCGGGGATTGAACTCTTATTACTGTGGCTATGGACAGCTTCATAGTGCTATGCTTTAGCGCCCTGCCCACTAGAGAGGACCCAGAAAATTCATTTTTGTAAAGAAAAAAAATTAGCACAGTTCCTTTTCATACCATTATAACTTGTTCCCTTTGTCCCTCAATAGGCAAGGACTAGCATAAGTAACCCTGCTACCATCCTTAATAATCTAGTTACTAAATACTTTGTAAATAATGCTAGTGTCTCTAAGATACCATTAGGGTGTATTGTGTGAGTCACTACTAAAATCATGTTACTGGTAAATTTTAAAGCATTTTCTCTTTTTCTTATAGCATAAAGTAAAACTTATAGGCATAAAAAATGATTTTTATAAATCATTTTAAGACTTTGGGTAGCTTTACTAAGTTCCTTCTCCCAGTAAAAGACATTGATATTTATCCATTCAGAAACATAGGGGTCACACTCAACAACTCCTTCTCTCCACTCAGCTCCAATCAGTCATAAATACTGCTATATATATATATTTTTAGCTCCTCAGTATCCCCAGAGTCTGCTTACTTTTTTGGTTACCTCTGCCGTTATTGAGGCCACCGTTATCTTTTACCTAGATTACTATAGTAGCTCTTTTTATCTTTCTTCCTGTGTCTTAAATTGTCTTTTGTGTGCCCAGAATCCACATATGTTCTACAAAAATGTCCTTTAGAAGTTTTATTAGGCAGTGTCTGATATACTAAGAAATACGCTGGGCCTCCTTGGTGGTTTAAGCACTAGGTCTTAGTACTAAGAAGCTGCAGCCACTGCAGCATAACTTTGATCCCCAGCCAGGGAGGTGACCCTCATAGTGCAGCAGACCTCTCCTGTCTCCCTCACAGTCCCCTCAGCAGTATTTTTCAGTCAATCTGCCTGTTCTGCTACCCACTCTGTCTCTGGTGAAGTTTCTTGACTTCCCATACCTCGTGCCTATACCCCCACCTCTTGTATGCATAAATAAATAACTCTTTTTAAAACACAGGCACATAACTAAATTGTGCATATACATGTTAATCATGAAGAACAAAGACATTGACAAGGATGCCAACACCATTCAGTGGGGAAAGAATAGCCTTTTTCAACAAATGGTGCTGGGACAACTGATATCCACATGCAAAAGAATAAGCTCCTACTACATGATTCACTCAGACTAACTCCACCTGTATTGAAGACCTAAATATAAGCCCTAAAACCAAAGTTATAAATGGAAACATAGTTGTGAATCTAATGATTTCTTTGCTATGACACCAAGGCATCCCAAAAACAACCAAAGTAAAATAGATACACAGGACTCCACCAAAGTTAAAAACCCTTACACTTCAAGGGAGACTAGAAAATAAGGGCCTCCACATCCCATAGCCCTAGAGCAGCATGCACTGCTGGTTTAGTCCTTGTCACCCTTGACTGAAACCTTGGCTAGTTTCAATTCTGAATCCTGTCATCTCTGAACTTTGTAATGAAAACTGGGTTTGGGGGTTTTTCCAAGAATGGAGGTTCCCTCACGGTGATGCTGAGTTTCCCAGGCTCCAGGGCTCCGGTCCCGGGCAGCAGTCCCATCTGGAGGCATTCACTACACTCCTTTTTGAGGTCCTAGGCTTGTGTTGAGATTTGTAATTGGTTATAATAAGCTGTATTTAAAAAGACAATAATAAAAAGTGCTTTGAATTATTTCCACAGCTGGTATAAAGCTAATTACAGCATGGCTGAGAAGTTAGACTGGGGCCGAGGCATGGGCTGTGACTTTGTCAGGAAGAGCTGTAAATTCTGGATTGATCAACAAAGACAAAAGTAAGAATTCATTTCCTCCTAATGTTTTTAATAGTACAATGTATTTTGGTTTTGGCTTTATGCAGAGCCTGAAGTATCACTGTTTTATTTTAGCTGTACTGGAAGAGAGCTAGTAATAGCTCATTGTGATTTTATTTGCTTTTCCCTATTGGTTAATGATGTTGAACATCAGCTCATATACTTACTTACTAGCTATACATCCTCTTTGGTGACATATCTCTTTATGTCTTATTCCAATTTTTTCTTCTGAAACTTAAGGATGCTTATAACATTCATGTGTGAGAGAAGAGAAACGCATCAGTCTTAATAAGATTTGTATTGCTTAGGAATACTGAAATTTCATTTATATTTATCTTGTGACATTAGTATAATTTATAATATAATTATCATTAACCTGACTGATCATAACTGGATGTTTTTGAAGGTTTTTTTGTTTTGTTTTGTTTTTTAATACCGTGTTCCTCTCAGGTGTAATCCCCAGAGAATTCCCACTACCAGGTCATCCTTGAACCTCTTATGGTCTCTTATGCTCTTCCCTCCCCTATTCTGATTCCTCACCCTCCCTTGCCCTCCTGCTGAATGTCTCCGATTTATCTTTTGTGTACTAGTTTTTGGTTTTTCCTGATCCCTTGTTTACTTCTCCTGTATTCCTCCTATAAGTGAATCCATCTGATGTTTTTTTCTTTTTCCTTCTGACTTTTTTCACTGAGCACAATTCTATTTGAAGGTTGTTTTTATATGGTAAAGCAACAGATTCTAATACCTTTAGAGGACTGTAGGGCTCCCTTTCCCAAATTATAGTTCCAAGAATAGTTTTAAAGGAAAACAGAACAAGTTGTTACAATTCAGGCTATTAACATAATCTTCATTTGGCACAGGAAAACAAGGTTGTCTTATGAATGTTTTCAGTTTAATGAACTGTCAAACAAGATTATTTGACTATATTATGGCATAGAGGAATATTTCAATCTTTGTAGCTGCAGAACAGAGGAGAACATTATCTCTGTCACTTCCTGAGGCTCCATTTGTTAATTATGAAGATTTGTGTTTTTTTAAACAGCAACACAGCTTTTTTTTTTTTTTCTCTTAAAGATTTATGTATTTATCCATACAGAACTGGGGTACAGCCCAGAGGTGCAGGGATGGTGAGAGGATTCATCAGAGACAGAGTGGGGAGCAGAACAGGCTGACTGATGAAATACACTGCTGAGGGGAGCAGCGGGCAGGTCAGGAGAGGTATGCCAGGCCTTGTGGGTTCATCTTCCTGGCTGGGGATCAAACTTGTGCTGCAGTGGCTTCTGAGAGCTTCCTAGTACGGTGCTTTAACCCGTTGAGCCACCAGGGAGAGCCCAGAGACCTCATTTTTTAAAATGACAAATAATGAAATTTTGTTGTAAAAACACAAATTCGGGGCCCTCCCTGGTGGCACAACTGGGTAAAACACCGCACTATAAAGCTCTCAGAAGCCAATGCAGCTTGAGTTCAATCCTCGGCCAGGAAGCTGAACCCACATGGCCTGGCAGACCTCTCCTGACCCACCCACTGTTCCCCTCAGCATTGTATTTCAGTAGATCTGCCTGTTCTGTTCCCCACTCTGACTGGTGAATCTCACCCACCACACTTCTGGCCTTTACCCCAGTTCTGTAAGCATATATCAATCTTTTTTAAAAAAATGAGGTCTGCAAGACCCATTTTACTGATGAAAGTGAAGAAAAAGATACAATATTTTATTAGTAATTGACATTGTGTTATAATGTATTTAGCATTAACCTCTCATATCTATACCCTTTGAAAGATAAGTATGTAACCTGATTCAGTAATTAGTTTTAAACTGTTAAAATATATTCAAATTCTAATGGAAATGACAAGGCTCTAGAAAAGACTTATAATGTTTTCTTTTTAGGGTTTGATACCATTGTACTTTCCTTTTTGTATAGGAAACAGATGCTGAGCCCTTACTGTGACACACTCAGAAGTAATCCACTGAAGTTAACCTGCAGACAGGACCAGAGAGCTGTTGCTGTGTGTAATTTGCAGAAGTTCCCAAAACCTTTACCTCAAGAGTACCAGGTAACCCTTGTTTTCAGCACAGTTTTAAGAATCAGCTTTTTAAAAGATTTATTTATTTATGTATATAGAACTGGGGTACAGGCCAAAGATGCAGGAGTAGTGAGAAGATTCACCAGAGACAGATTGGGGATCAGAACGGGCCGACTGATGAAGTACACTGCTGAGGGGAACAGGGGGTGAGACAGTAGAGGTCTGCTGCTCCATGTGGGTCACCTCGGGGTGGGGGATTGAACTGACATGGTAGCGACTGCAGCCAGCTTTGCAGTGCTGTGCTTTAACCCATAACACCACCAGGGAGGGCCCGAGAATCAATTTTTTTTTAAAGATTTATCTATTTATACATATAAGAACTGGAGTACAGGCCAGAGGTGTGGGAAGTGAGAGGGGCAAAAGGATTCACCAGAGAGCAAAACAGGCAAACTGCTGAAACACACAACTGAGGGGAGCAGCTACTGAGACAGGAAAGGTCTGCCCTGCCATGTGGGTCACCTCCCTGGCCAGGGATTGAACTCGTGCTGCAGTGGCTGCAGATAGCTTCATAGTGCTGCAACTTAACCTCTTGTGCCACCAGAGGCACTTTAGTCAGAAATATCGTAGAAGCTAATTTAAAAAGGTTGCTGATAAATATGGAACTTCACGTTTATATTTATGACCAGAGTAAGTGCTTCAGACATGGTAAGATGTTGACTATATTTCCATGCAAAGTATTAGTACTCAGTGAGTTGAGTTGGAGTAAAATGTGAAATCTTTACAATTTATCTGTTCTTTTGGTGTTAACAAGTATAGAAGATGAATGATCTCATTCATTTTCTCAGTTTTATTTTTTCAGGTTTGTCAAAGCAATGGTTAAATTGTTTCCTAAAAACACGTGAATTAAGTTATATTTCAAATATCTTAATTTTATGCATCAGTTTTGTGTTTTGTCAACTCCTAAAACAACTTCTATTTCTACTCATTTCTTTAAAGCATTAGTCAAATTTGTCATCTAATAATTAACTTAGACTTATTTGCTTTTTTCTAAGTAAGCAACCACAAACTCAAATATCCCTCAGGTGGTATATTATTATCTTTGTGATGTACAATATATAAAGAAAAGGAGGTTAATGTCCTCTTTGTGTTATATAGTAGTAGGGGATTGCTACAAACTGTGGACTTTACTTTGAATATGCAAAATGTTTCGTATTCTCATGTCTTCCCAATAATTTTTTATTTTAGTACTTTGATGAACTCAGTGGAATACCTGCAGAAGATTTGCCTTATTATGGTGGTTCAGTAGAAATTGCTGACTATTGTCCTTTTAGTCAGGAATTTAGTTGGCATTTGAGTGGTGAATATCAGCGGAGCTCGGATTGTAGAATATTGGAAAATCAACCAGGTTAGTGGTCTAGTGAAATGAAATGCAATTTAACTATTAAAATTACTCATCAGCTATATAGAATAGTGGTTAGGGGTATAAACCCTAGAATCAGACTGAATTTGTATTGAGGTTCCACTGCTTTCCATCTGTGAGAAGTTACTTCTCTATGCCTTCCTTTCCTCTTCTGTACAAGGGAATAATATATATCTCAAAAAGCTGTTATAAGAAATAAATTAATGGAATAAAGTTGCTTAGAACTGTTGCGCATAGAAAGGATTGCTAGCTATTAGATATACTTGCATATGATGACACACACTACATTTTAGTAATAACTTACAGCTGTATGACTATTTATAAAACACTTTCATTTTATTCTTCTAAAAATCCTAGGCGATTCATGGAGAAGATATCGAATATCATAGATGAACAAAGAGATATGATGTGATACAGTTAATTGGTATCCTCCAGTCCAAACTTTTTATTTTAATCTCTTTTTTTGTTGTGGTAACATTGGTTTATCACTTCACCAGCTTATCACCTCAACAAATGTATATACTACTCCACATCTGCCACCAAAAATCTAGTTACCATTCATCACCATCTAATTAAATCCCTCCACCATTTCCACTTACTACCTACTCTCTTCTGCTCTGGTAAACACTATTCTGTTGTCAGTTTGAAGGTTTTATTGGCTTTATTTCTTTATATTGTATATATGCATGAAATTATATAGTGTTTATCTTTTTTCTATCTGCTTTATTTCAGTTAGCATAATCCCCTCAAGTTCCATCCATATTGTCATAGATGGGCTAGATTTCATCTGTTTTTTTAAGATTTCATCTATATTATAGCTAAGAAATATTTAATTGTGTGTGTGTACCACATCTTTAAAAATTTTTTTTAAAGATTTACTTTATTTATTTATGCATCCAAGAACTGGGGTATAGGCCAGAGTGGGAAGCAGAACAGGTAAATCTATGGAATACACTGCTGAGGGAAGCAGTAGGTGAGACAGGAGAGTTCTGCTGCACCATGTGGGTCAGCTCCCTGGTCAGGGATCAAACTATATTGCAGTGACTGGTGATAGCTTGATAGCATGAAACCTTAACCCCTGTGCCACCAGGGAGGCCCCACATCTTTTTAGTGTATTCATCCATCAAAGAACACAGGTTACTCCATGTATCGGCTATTGTAATTAACAACACAGCTCTTTTTATTAAATTATATTAGGTGTCTTTTTTTTTTCTTAAGGATTATGCATTTTATGTAATGTAGAAGTAGTATGCCACTCTACAGATAGCAGAATAATACTATTTTCCATAGCTAGTAAATGCTTTCATTATATAATTGCTTGGCCTCATCCTATCATACGTCACTTGGGAGTTGACTCCTTTAAGCCCACCAGTGAAGATGATTCTTAGCGACATTTCCTTTACATACCTAACTCAAATACTGTAGGCCCAGTTTTTGTGTGTGTGTTTTTAAGATTTATTTATTGATGCATACAGAACTGAGGTATAGACCAGAGGTGTAGGGGTAGTAAGAGGATTCACCAGAGACAGAGTGGGGAGCAGAACAGGCAGATTGACTGAAATACTCTGCTGAGGAGAACAGCAGGCACAAGAGAGGTCCGCTGTGCCATGTGGGTCACCTCCCTGGCTGGGGATTGAACTTGTGTTGCAGTGGCTAGTTTCACAGTGCTTTGCTTAAAGCTATTACACCACCAGGAAGCGCCCATAGGCTCATTTTTATCACTCACTTCTGATAGCACAATTTTTTTCCTACTACTTTTGTTAAGAATACAGTTGATTCTGGAGTTCTAATTCTTGTATTTTTTTTTTAGCTGAAAATTCCCATTAAACAAATTCTATTTTTAAAAGAGCTATTAATTATAAGAGTAGATTGCTTCAGTTTCTTGTTCTTTGAGCCCAGAAGTCAATTTTTAAGAAAAGTTTTCTGGTTTGCTTCAGACCTTTTTAAAAACTATGGTGCTGAAAAATATGGACCTCAATCAGTTTGTCTAATTCAGAAATCAGCATTTGTTATGGAAAAGTGTGAGAGGAAGCTGAGTTATCCAGACTGGGGAAGTGGATGTTATCAGGTAAAGCTATGTGATTGTGAATACTTATGCCAGATATTTTATAATTTTATGTTATTACATGATTTTTATATTTTAAGATGAACTTTGTATCTTTATATATAAGTAATTTACTAATTAACATTTTAACTTATCTAGTTTATGTATATATTAATTTGGATTCTTATATTTTACGAATATACTGTCATTTCTTTGAGAGAACATGCCTTCTCCATTTCTTTAAAATCTATATATAGTTGAAGTATATCAGCAAGTTTTATAATAACTTTACTTCTACCCTAAAGAAATAATGGTAATATGTAATTATATTTTTGAACAAATATTACTTTGTAATGGAAGATATTTTTAAATTTTCTTTCATAGGAGTTGAATAAATCAGCTCCTTCTTAAGATTAGATTTTTCCTTTGAAATTAGAAATCGAAAGGGGGATCGTTCCTGTTTTGTTAATTATCTTATTTCTATATCTGATATTAAATGACTGTTTCACCTTGTTAAGTTATTAAGATACAATCATCCTGTAACATAGGAGCATCCATTTTAATTGATATTCCATATTCTACTAAGATATTAATTAGGGAGCAGAGTATGATCCTAAAAAGTGAAAAATAAGAATTTGCTGTGCCATTCCAGTTGCAAAAGATAAATGTCTGTAGCTGTAAATTTATAAGGTTTACACTTATGTAATATTGGGGGTAGCAACTTTATTCAGATGTGATTCACACACCATAAATTTATATGAAATTATCTTTGAAACCTTTTAAATAACAATTGAAACCAAACATTTTCTAACTATAATCTAACAGCTCTATGACAGCAACCATTTTCTGGTAAATTCAGTGAAAGATTTATATGTGTATTAAATGTATAGTTTCTGACTTTGTTGTAATCTCTTATAATATTTAATTTTTACTGCCTTGAGTTAGTACTTTTTGTGGAATGCAAAATACCTTTCCCATGTTTTTTCTATAATTATACTATTCTTTATGCTTATAAAATATTGTTTCATTTTAAAGTTTAATTAGGAGAATCATTTCCTTGTCATAAATTAACTTTTTATAACTATGCTTTATGTTTTCTATGCGTCACCTTTTTTATATTCCCTAAGTGAAAATACTGTGTTAAAGGGGACAAAGCTAGAATAGCAACAGAGATAGTAAGATGTCTTTTGGGAGAGGGCTATCTTATGTTTTATCAGTTGCACCACCACAAAAAATTGTTTGAATTTATAATACCATCTACTAAGACTGACTGCCTGTATTTGGCTTCTGTATATCTAGTATTTTCAGTTAGTTTTTCTAGTTTAATACTAGTAACCTGTTATGTGGGAAAATACATATGATTTCTATTAATATGTTGTTAGCTGTTCTGTTTTCTTGATTGTTGTTTTACTTATTTTGACAGACAAGATGCAAAAATAATACAAAATATTTTTGAGTCTTTTAGATGCAAATTATTAACATAACTTTCACCCTCAAACTTTTGAGTGCATTTCTTTGTGTGTGTGTGTGTGTGTGTGCATTTCCTATAAACAAAAATATCCTCCTATATAACCACAACACTCTTAATACAAAAATATCAGGAAATTAGCATTGATTCTTCTAAGTTTCAGATATAACTCAGGTTTGGCTAATATTCCCAATAATGTCCTTGTGTTAACAGCATCTAGACAAATATCACATGTAATTATCATGTCTCTGGTCTCCATCTGTTCCAGAACAGTTATGCACTCTGACTTTCATAATAACCTTGATACTTGTAAGATATTTCTTTCTAGGATGTGTCTTAATTTGGTTTTGTCTGATGTTTCTTTTTGATTAAATTCCAGTAGTGTATTTTGGATAGTAATTTCAGAAAATGATGTTAGTTTTGCCGCTAGTACTTTTGATTTATCCCTTTACTGCTATTTTATTGGTATCTGCCATATTTTTCTGCTGTCAGATTACTCTTTTAACTAACTCCCTTTGTAATTGTTAAATATTCGGAGAAGGTACTAAGTTTGTTTAGAACCTGAGTAACTAATCCACTTTTGGTAACAGTGAAAATACATGCACATTCCAAATTGTGTTTTATTGCCAATATTTTTAGTAATCCTAATGTATTTTCCTGCAATTAAAGTTGATGACTCGTATACTAGCATCTTTTTTTTAAAGATTTATTTATTTATTTATACAAGAACTGGGGTACAGGCTAGCGGTATAGGGGGTAAGAGGATTCACCAGAGACAGAATGAGGAGTATAACAGAGATCTACTGAAGTACACTGAAGGGGAGCAGTGAGCGGATCAGGAGAGATCTGCCACGCCATGTGGATCACCTCCCTGGCTGGGGGTCAAACTTCAGCTGCAGTGGTTTGGGACAGCTTCACAGTGCTGCTCTCCAACCCATTGGGCCACCAGGGAGGGCCCCCATATACTAGCATCTTGATGATCTGATGGTATTTTTTTTTCTGTTTAAAGATTTCTTGTTCACCTCAAGGTCTAAAAGTTTGGGTCCAAGATACTTCATATTTGTGTAGTAGAGCCAGGCAGGTGCTCCCTGTCAGTGTTCAGATGAATGGCTGGATTTACGATGGAAACCTACTCTGCCCAGCATGTTGGGACTTCTGTGAGTTCTGCCCTCCGGAAAGAGAACCTCCAGCCAGTAACTTGACCCGAGCTCTACCACTGGGTGAGTAAAGAGGGGAACTTTTCCTTCTAAAATGCTGAAAATCCTTTTGAGGCAGCTTTAAAACTTAAGATGCTTTAAGAGCATCTGCTCTTCTAATTGCAGGTTTATGGGAAAATCTCTGCATTAAAAACTGATACTAGGTAGGTTAGCGCTTCTTCTTTTTTTAAAAAAAGATTTATTTATTTGTACATATAGAACTGGGGTTCAGGCCAGAGGTGCTGGGGCAGTGAGAGGTTTCACCAAAGACAGAGTGGGGAGCGGAACAGGCAGATTGACTGAAATACACTGCTGAGGGGAGCAGTGGGAGGGTCAGAAGAGGTCTGCCACGCCATGTGTATCACCTCCAGGGAGGGGATTGAACTCATGCTGAAGTGGCTTTAACTTCTTAGTGCTGTGCTTTAACCAGCTGTTGCACCAGGGAGGGCCAGATTAACACTTTTGTTCAGTAAAAGCAAGATAAGGAACCATTCTGTGTGAATCACATCTGACTTACCCAAAAAAATTCATTGATAAAAACAACAAAATTCATTGAAGATTATGAAAAGTAAATATTTCAATTTCTCATTTTGAAATTGACTAAACAAAGTTTTGCTTTTAAATACAAAAAGTAAATATAGTTTCATTATAACTAATTGAGGTGAAAAAAGGAGAAGGACACTGAAAAAGTTTATATTTTTGAATAGTACAGGCCATCTGTGGTAATGTTTTAGAGGTTACAATGGTCTTTGAGCCTGTTTCCACATAGAACTCCTTAAAGGGGGGGCCGTTCATATGCCTGATGTCCTGGTATAATTATTAATCATATTCCCTTGTATTGAAATAATCAAAGAGAATAATTTAGTTGATCTAAGATTTTATTTCATACTTCATGAAGCAGGCCATCTCCACATTAAAAATCCAAAGCACGGCAGAAAAAAGAGAAAGAAAAAAGGGCTGCAAGTTTTAAGAGAAAGGCAAGCAAAATACAGGGAAGAAATACTCTGTCAGTGCTGATTTGCAGAGGTTGCACATCTGACCTTATTTAGAAAGATCAAGAAACAAGGAAATAACTGTCAGAGCTGGGTTGGCAGTCGGAGACTGAATATACTGTTTCTGGGCAAGTGGAACATTTACAGACTTGGAAGTTTGGTTTGTTGATGTGGCATCCTGGTTAGGAGTGACTTCATCTTGGGTCTAGAAATTTATTTTATTACTTGTTTTCTTAAAATGTCTTTATTTGCAACTAATTATATGGTCACCCTACTTATAAGGAACAAGAAAGAATAAAAGAGAGTCCCATATCCTACCTTAGAATAACCAAGAAATTAATTTACTTTCCTAGGTAGCCACTTCAGCTTTGCTGGGATACTACCCTGGGGCATTTCTTTTCATTCTTTGGTTGCATCTTCTGTCCTGTCTCCATGAGTATTTTGTTCTTTCTCCATGGGGAAAAAAAAAAAAACTTTGTATATCTAGCTTTCAAGAAGTCACTCCTGGTTCTGCTTTCCCAAGTGGTCTTTGTTCATCTTTCAATAAAACCACCTTACTGATCTGTCAATATTTAGTTTGTATGATTTATTCCAAAAATGTCTGTAGAAAGTCAGTTTTCTTTAATTTTTTGTTTTCAACCGTAGATCTCTGTTCCCGTTCCTCCAGCTTGGTGGTTACACTCTGGCTTCTGTTAGGCAATCTATTTCCTCTGCTGGCTGGATTTCTTCTGTGCGTGTGGCACTAGGAAGTGAAAAGTGAATTCTCAAGACATTCTTTTGTGTCATGTTCCTCTGAACAAAGCACAGAATCTGGATGAGTGCCAGCTTATGCAGAGGCAGAGTGGCATTCTTGACTGAGTTGGAAGTATTGACTACAATCAGACCTTGAAGCTGAGCTTCGTAGCAGTCACGCCTCATCAACACAACAGCCTCACAGCTTGGAGAAAGAGAACGAATTCCAAGTCACCAAGTCTCTTTACCTTTCAGGATACATCACCTTCTTGATGTTTTCCTTTGAAAATGGGATAGTTGGTGAAATTTTCAGTGATTACATACCTCAGCATTTTCATTAACCTAAAGTGATGGGAAAGTTTATCAATACTTTACTAGCTTAAAGAGAAAATAATTATGACAAGATTATAAACTGTGGGTTCTGTCCTCACAAGTATGAATTTCCCTTTAACTTAGAAAAAACAATTGAATTGGGATTTCACAATTATACCTACTTGAATGTAATGATCATGGTACACTTAAAATCATTGCTCTAAAGAGTTTCTTTTCATTAGATTTTGTTAAATCTTAATGAGTTAATCATGCCTGCCTTTTGCAAAACAGCTGTATGGCAGTTTACTACTGAAGAACCATTGTATGGGCCCTCTTCCAGCTGTGTCTGGGCCCACTGATATTCAGATCTCCACTTCCAATTGCATTGACTTTTAGAATTGTGCAAGCAGAGAAAGGAATGCACTCTGCCCTGTAAAAACACTGAAGACCTGCAAACAGAAGAAAACATAATTATGTTTTTCAAACAATTGTTATGACAATTATAATCCAACAAAAATAGAACCATTCCCTTTTGACCAATGATGACAAAAAGAAATTCTAGTATAGACAGGTAAGCAGTTGTTTTCAAGTGGGAATAGAAATTGTTACAGGAGATTTCTATATCTGAAAATTTTTTTATGTTTAAGAAGAAAAATATAAGCCAAACAAGATGGTCTGATCGATTTACTAATAGCAAAGTATAGGTTTAATCTGGACCTATCCAGTAGGGTCCACTTTACCACACAATGTGTGGCTCAGTCCATAGAAGTCTGAGATTGTCTTTTATTTAAAAGGAGGTAGTGTCCTTTACCTATTGGATTGACACTCCTGTTACCACAGAGATAGTGGTCCCAGAAGCCATTTTGCTCCGGTACCAGAACTTATAAACTCCACCTAATAATTCCAATTTGAAATTTTTCAGTGATGAATAATGCCAACGTTATTCTCTCTAAAGCTAATGAATAGTCCAGTGGCATTATTAACAAAGCCTTTGGACAGTGTTTACTCGCTCATTCCTTCATTCATTCATCTGTTGGTTGGCTCTTTAATTCAGCCTATAGCTATCAAACACTGAACTTAAGGAACTGTGCTAAGTGAACAAGCAGCATAATCATTACGGAGCAATTCTGACATTTTGGCATTAGAGCCAAAGAGCAGGCCCGGCATAAAGGAAGGTCACCTTTCTTCTTCTTTTTTAAATGCATAACTTTAAAATACATATTTGCATGCTGTTTTAAGTTGGAGGTATTTGTCATTGTGAAAAGCTGGGGGTCTCTAATGTGGTCAGCTTCAGCTCCAGAGAAGCTAAAAGTAATGGTGTTCAGCCAGTCCTCTATTTTCAGCATATGTTATATTTAAATTATGTCAGGTTGGAGAAAAGATGTAGCCTATATTTTTAAAAGAAAATTATAAAAATCTAAACTTACATTCCTATTATGATTATGAACCACCCTGCAAAGTATAAAGAATTTAACCAAAAATACTATGGATTAATATATTTGAGATTTACAGTGATAAGTTGGATATATTTTGACTGTTGTGCAGTAATACCATTTAGGTAGTATTATTTCCAAGCATGGTGCTTTTTATACTTGAAATATATTTTTGCTTTATTTTTTATTGATATAATTATATTTGCACTAATGACTTTCTGGAGAAAATATTATAGATGACATTTTTTTCTATACTTATTAAGCTTGGAATCTGGTGACCCAGTGTTTTCTCTTCACAAATATGAAACTTGATAAAGTTATGTTATAAAATACTGAGTTTCTGATGGTAGCTAACTACACTGGTGTCTTTCTTCTTCAAGTCTTGAAGTCTCACTGGTACTACATAGAATACTTGGCAAACATTTAGAAGACCACTGAACTGTATGAAATTTTAATAGGCACTCTTTATTACTTAGAATCCCCATTATATTTTTAAAACAGTTATTACTTAGAATCCCACAATATTTTTAAAACAGTTTCTTTTAAAATTGGAGATTTCAGTGCAGAATTAGTGGGCTAGAATTCAGAATTTAAAATGGCCTAAATATTTTATCCTGTGGCAGGTTATGCCCTTCATGTTAGCAAAAGCAGTTCACTGAGAAAGAGACTGCAGACTCCAGTGGTGAAATGAGGTGGGACAGAGCTAGAGAATGGGCAGTCCTTGATTTGAGGATAGTAGACTGGTGTTCTTTCTGACTCAAAAAGAGTCAAGAGCTTATAAAAACTGACTACCTCAGTTTTTAGAACAGATTGCAGTTCATTTGATAGTATTATGGTTCCAGTTGTCAGAATTATCAAGTGACTTTGCCTTTTGGGTGTTTAAAGGAATTTATAGGAAGGAGGCATGTCATTGGACTAGAACTGAGTCTTTCATGAAACTCACTCGTAGTTAGGTAATATTAATGGGGACCCTTCGAATATTTGCCTGAAACACATTCTTTTCCCTTAATTTCTTTCTGAAGAATATGTTTATTAATACCAAATACATGTTCTAAAAATATTACAAACTATGCTTAAAGTTGTTTTTGAGCCTAACATTTTGGCATCGACTATATCCATATTTGATAAATTCGTAAAGTCTAAATAGCTTTAGGAAGATACATAAGTAATTTGACTAATCTATAAAATTTTATTCATATTCTCTTCAGTATTAGAAGACTCACCAATTGCGTGTTCACTAGATGCTTTCTCAGGCTTGCTCTAGTATGCCACGGCTAATCCCGTCCTGAATTGCTAGGTCTCCGCTGGCTCAGTAGCACTCTCGTAGTGCGCCAGCCTGCACATCTTATTCATCATAGTGTCCTGTGCCCGTTGCCTTGGCCCTGTCCCTGGCTTTGGATATTAATTGGAAAGAGAATAGCCCATCTTTGAGGGCTGCTAAATAGTCCTGGTAGAAGAGGTGGACTTCCCCACAACCCTACAGATGCATTTCAGAGTGGACACCATTCATGTTAAGGGCCTGTGCCCCAAAGAGTGACATTGTAATTAAGTCTGTGCTACTCATTCTGAAGAAAGAACCTACCTGAAAGGATGACTTTGTTTTTTTCTGTAATACATGTAGTCAGGGTTGAGGAGAATGTGGTAAATTATTTTCTTTTATGTTTACATTTTTGACAAAAAGGAAATTTTAGAACTAATCTTTATTTATGTTATTGAACTTTAAGTGTAATATATTCCCTAGAAAAACTTTAATAAATATGGCAATTAATCTGCATCTTGTCTTTACTTAACATTCAGTTTTTCTAAAACCTGGATGAGGAACACAAGACACAGTCATGCACTCTTACTTTGGAAGGACAAGGTGATTATTACAAAACATACTTCAGTTTTTACTGTAACTGAAGTAAAATTGTTCTATTTAGAGAAGTGGAATTGGTCTTATGTAAAGGGAGCAGCCCTCCTTAAATAGGTAAACAGGAAAGTGCAGACTAAAACAATTTAGAGTGACCCATCTCTGGCTGAAGAGTTTTCCTGTCCTTTTTTTCTCTACTATGGGCACCTGATGTGCAGGGGTGTCCACTGGAGTGTGGCCATAGCCATGGAGTGTGACTCTTCTTCATAACCTGAAGGTGGTGCAAGAGCATGTGTGCCCGACCACATGGAGCCAAGCACTTTGTGAAACTCATTAAACTCAGTTTGGGAGACCTACCTGCTAAGCTATTTGTGGGAAATTTTAATATTTTTTAAGTTTCAAATATTGGATATTATAGCCAAAACTTATATAAATTATTTCAAAATTTTGTTGCACAGAGTATGGAAAATAAAACACTTTACATCTCATTACCTTGTTTACTCTGCCTTTTGGTATGTTCCTAGGACACAGCTTATCTTATAAGGTGTAATTGTGGGCCCTCCCTGGTGGCTCAGTAGGTTAAAGCGCAGCACTATGAAGCTATCGGCAGCCACTGCAGCATGCGTTTGATCCCCAGCCAGGGAGCTGACCCACATGGCAAGGCAGGCCTCTCCTGACCCACCACCTACTGCTCCCCTCAGCAGTGTATTTCAGTCGAGCTGCCTTTCTGCTCCCCTCTGTGTCTCTGGTGAATCCTCTCACCCCCTGTACCTCTAGCCTGTACCCCAGTTTTCTTGTGTGCATAAATAAATCTTTAATTTAAAAAAAGACTAGCTATATAAGCTAGTGTTTTGTTTACAACCTTTCCAGTAAATTTGCTGAAATGGAAGGGCTAATTTTTTTAAAGATTAGTTTTTATTTATTTATGCATATAAAAACTGAAGCACAGGCCAGAGGTGTGTGTAGGGGGCAGGAGGGGAAGGGTGAGAGCATTCACTGGAGACAGAGTGGGGTATAGAGCAGGTAGATCTACTGCAATACACTGCTGAGGGGAGCAGTGGGGGAGACAGGAGAGGTCTACTGTGCCATGTGGGTCACCTCCCTGGCTGGGGATTGAACTTGTGCTGCAGTGGCTGCAGACAGCCTCACAGTGCTATCTTTAACCCCTTGCACCACCAGGGAGGCCCATGGGAGGGCTTAATTAAATCAACTTTGTTGGCATTCACTCTTTATAAGATAAACTGGACATGTTTAGAGCTAGTCCAAATAATGTGATCTGATTTTTTGTGAGATGACTAGTACCTTTCCCATTTTATATGTGTACAATATTTTCCCCATTTATAGAAATTGGTATCTTAGACTCAACACCACTTTAAAGTTCAATGCTGTAGCAGTCAAAATTTTCTGCTTCAACAGAAGCATTAGAGACTCAAAACATTCTGACATTTTCTCACTTGAATATATTTAAATCATGAAATCTGAGTACCTTCTGGCTTTCCCACCCTCCAATCAGATCTCCTAATGACATTTCAAAAGAGTACAGGTTGATTGGAAGAGGTTTCTCCTGTATTTACATTCATGAGTGTTCATGAACATGCATGGATTAAAATTGTTATGTATTTGGTTGAGGATTTGAACATTAAGTGAGGTCACTACAAAGAATAGAGCAAATGTCACATGCCTCAGCACAATTTGCCAGACCAGTCCAGAGCGTTGAATCTTAATAGAAATTAAAACTGTTATGTCAGTGTTCTAAATTTACTTGTTCTTAAGTAAGTAAAATGTGTCAAATCTACATTTCTTACCATAGATTTTACAGAGGAGTAATGAGGGCATCAGTAAGTTCTGTAAAAGAGTTTAACTTAGAGATTAGTATCACCTCAGTGGAGAGAGGAATGAAGAAGTGAAATGTCTGAGGCAAGTGGTCCTCACTGACAGGTGAGTGAGTGGCTTTTCCATGCTGGAATTTTGCCTGAGAACCCATTCACAGCTACATGCATTGTGTAGATCTTCACAAAGGGAGCTTTTTCCAGCATTTTTCTCTAAATTCTCAGCCATCCCAGTTGCCTTCACCCCAGTGTGTGGCCAACCGGCCTGCCTCCCCATTAGCATTTCAAAACAGTACAGTTTCCTCAAGTATATTACTGTATATACCCATTCAGTGGTTTTTTTTTAAATTTCTTACATTTTTATTTATCTAAATTTTTTTATTGTATTTATTTTAAATTTTTTTCAGATTTATTTATTCATACAAAGTTGGGGTACAGGCCAGAGATGCGGAGGGTGAGAGGATTCACCAGAGACAGAGCAGGGAGCAGAACAGGCAGATCGACGAAGCACACTGCTGAGGGGAGCAGCGGGCGGGTCAGGAGAAGTCTGCCACACCATGTGGATCTCCTCCAGGGCAGGCGGGGATCGAACTCATGCTGAAGTGGCTTAAGCTTCTTAGTGCTGTGCTTTAACCCGCTGCGCCACCAGGGAGGGCCCGGTTTGTTTTGTTTTTTAAAAGATTTTTATGTTTGCATAGAAGAACTGTGGTGTAGGCCAGAGGTGCTGGGGGGCTGAGTGAATTCACAGAGACAGAGTGGGGAGCAGAACATGTCGATTTATTAAAATACACTGCCGAGGGGAGCAATGGGCAAGACAGGAGAGGTCCGCTGTGCCATGTGACTCAGCTCCCTGGCCAGGGCTGGTAATAGCTGGCCAGCGCTGACTTAACCCCGAGGCCACCAGGGATGCCCTATTCAGTCGTATTGCTTGTTTGTGAGGGGACTTGTCCCTCCATCATTTTTCAAGGATTGATTTAGAGGAAGGATGGCAGTATTCCTGGTTAGAGTACTAATTTGGCAGAAACCACAGCTCTCTATTTCTACAGATGGCTTCTGTTTATTTAATTCCCAGGTTGGGAGTGACAGTGCCCTGTGTGGCTGTCCATGCACTATGGCAGAGGAGGCACAGTAATGGAAATAAGCAGATTGGCATCTGCTGAGCTGAGGAGCCACAGAGGGGCTTCAGGGTGGGCAGATGCTCACCTGGGTCCTAAGAATAAACCAAAAGCATGGATACAGAAATGTCTAGTCCAGACAAAAATAGTGAAGGTGAGTGTCAGTACCGGGGACAATGAAGGCCTTGAAATTGAATATTAAGAAACTAGTCAATAACAAGGGACATAGGAAGGGCCGAAGGAACAAGAGTGTGTGGCAGAGTGAGCAGAGTGAGTCCTGTTGATGGGGTACTGCCTTGCATTCATGACTTCTGGGTTGAAGTGCGCTGAGAATGCCTTCTGACATTTAGCACAGTGCAAGTGCTCACTGAATCAGTGATTTCACATTGAAAAGGTTTTTCTTTGGTACTTGGATTTCTACTGGGTCATGAGAACCCAGGCCACCAACAAAACAGAGTCCTTGTCCTTCTGATGCAAGTGAAGGAAGGGAAATTAAGCTTTTATAGTAAACATAGACTTGAAATGGTGGGATGGGATCACAACAAGCGGATGAGAAATAATGGGAGAACAAGAGCAGAGCTGGTGATGGAAAAGACTGAGGTGCTCAATAAAGCCTGCATCTGAGGAGAGGGACGCTGAGACCAAACTGTATAGAGTGGACTTCCATGTTCTATCGTAGAGTAGATGGAACTATAAGATGGAACATGGAATGAAGCTGGAGCACATTTCTTAGACTTGATAACTAGAAGCTGAATTCCCAATCCAAAAAGGAAATCATAGTTTGCCATGAGTGGGATCCGAGATCGGCAGTGTACTGGAGGTTTAAGCTATTGCAGAACTGTTTTGGTGATGACTCTTCTGTCCCAGAGACTCGTCTTCTTTTATTGCTAATTACTTTTGAATTTTGTCTTTATTTACTGTCTCCAGTTTTCCTTTTTAGGAATGAGTTATGTATATTTATATGCTCTTCAGTTACTTTCACTTTTTCTGTAATCCTTTTTTCATTGCCTTTTATTTCTGCCCATTATGTGATTCTTTGTGTCTTCAGCAGTGTATGTGGTCCTTTATGATGTTCCTTTCATTCTATTGTGGTTTCACTTTTCTCTGAGTTATTCTCCTGAGCCTGTAACTGCCTCTCAACATCCAATGTTTGGCCATTGGAAAGCTAGATCAGGTTACAACTGCCTGTGAACACAGGTCTCCATAATCCTGGTTGCTAACAGCAACAGAAGCAGAAAGATGGTCTCTGCTTCCATCTGTTTTCTACATATTATGAGAGTGGATCTGATCAGAAGAATCTAATTTACATCCACAATCTACTGCAGAGACTCTCAGAATTGTAGCTTTAAGGTTCTCTCAGAATTGTAGCTTTAAGGTTCACACCCTGTACAGGCAGAAGCATGGAGGAATCAAAGTTGTGTGAGCTACCTCACAGTATCTACTGTAGTCTTTTGTGTTACAAATACGGTGTTTACAATTTTGTCATCTGTTAAGTGGTAGTTTTAAATTTTAAAATGATTTCTTCTATGGGTTTATATTTGTTGTGATGCTTAGAAAAACCTTGCTCCTGTTTTATACTTTTGTTTTCACTTTCAAAAGATTGCTTAATTTTTTTCTTGGAAAACAGAACATAAATAATGGAAATAATTCTCAGTTCTACCACTCTTAAAATATATAAAGAAAGAAGTAAAAGTGCTCTACTTTTTGAGTCCCTCCATTTCTATCCTCCATGAAGGTAAACTAGATGATCCCATTTTGGTGCATTGTTCTTTCAGACTTTTCTCTACTGTTTTATAGAACAATAAATTTAATAGTACCATACATTGGGATCTTCTATTTTTTACCTACAGGTTCAGTAGTATAAGACTTCTGAGTCAGTAAACTTTGGTTTACCTCATAGTTTGTAATAATTTTTTTAAAAAGATGTATTTACTTGTGCATACAGAACTGGGGTACAGGCCAGAGATGCAAGGGTGGTGAAAGGATTCACCAGAGACAGAGTAGAGAGCAGAACAGGCAGGTAGACAAAGTATACTGCTGAGGAAAGTAGTGGGTGGGTCAGGAGAGGTCTGCCACGCTGTGTGGGTCACCTCAGGGGCAGGTGGGAATCGAACTCATGTAGAAATGGCTTTTAGCTTCTTAGTACTGTGCTTTAACCCGCTGCGCCACCAGGGCAGGCCATTCTTTTTTTTTAACACTAGATGCCTACTTAGTGTTAATTCACTTCTGTTCTACTCTTTCTTTCTTTCTTTTTTTTTTTAAGAGCTCTTTAGTTTTGCATACAAGAACTGGAGCACAGAACAGAGGTGTGGGGGGTGTGAGAGCATTCACCAGAGACAGAGTAGGGAGCAGAACAGGCAGATCTACTGAAATACACTGCTGAGGGGAGTAGCATGTGAGACAGAAGTCAGTATTACTGTGCCATGTGGGTCAGCTT